TCTTGCCACAGAATGGATTTCAATCATGACTTCAAATGGGACAAAGTCGACATACTAGACAGAGAACCGTGTTATAGCAAAAGATTAACTTCCGAAATGCTACATATAAAAAGACAAAGTACAGGACTGAATAAACAGGAGGACACGGAATTCTTACCTGACACATATCTACCAATTCTTAAAAAATTCCCCACCCTTTAATCCTCTCCATAATCTATCCCCTCTTTCCTTCCTACATTTTTGCCAGTCGAGTCCAGCTTACTGCCGTCGACGCATGTCTTACTTTTATTTGTTCGATACACATGTCTAACGGACCTGCTAAGGTATATATCTTTTTGAAAATTAATTTATTTTTCGGGTTATCTTTTTATTTTGCTTCTTCTTTTAATTTTTATTTTTAATCTGATTTTTTAAAATTTTCTTAATTGGGTTAATTTTCATTCCCAAATTTTAGTAATCTCTGACCTATTTCTTAAATCTTATTTATTATTTTTTCTATTTGCAAGTTAGATGATCCTTGGCTTCACACAGGTTTGATATGACTAGAAACAAAATGTACAATTCGTGTCATAAAAGGTATTTATACATAATTATTTTTCAAAAAATCTGTGTCTGTTAATTTCGGGCTTGGAGAACGCTCTTAACTCGTTTTGTCGTTTCACATTAACAGGATGCGTTACCTAAATCATAACTATTGTCTGAAAATGTGTCTATTCTGACTATCTTATCAACGTTTTATGACTAGCGACGACATTATTTATATTAATTTGTTACACTGAAGATGGCCATGTCTTTTAGGCCGAAACGTCTGTATTTGTAATATTTTATAATAAATGGAAAATTTAAGCAATTCTAACTAGCTCCTGCTCTATCAGCTTGTTGTTTCAAGATTTTTTATTTATGTATTTATTTTTTTATAATATATATAGTATATGTATTAATATATACAGTATAGTATATGTAAAATATGATAAAATATAGTATATAATATAGTTAATTATATATATGACAGTTTTTTTTAAAGGTTTTAATATATACGACACGTTTTTTTGAAAGGTTTAATATATACAATTGTTTTGAAAAATAAAACAATACTGTTTTGTTTTAGTTGTGACAAGAGCGTGTACTTGGCGTCTTTTTTTACCTTTTTTTAATAAGGTAATTTTTTAATAGATAATAATATTACATTAATTTGTTATAATACAATTTAGAAATATTAGCGTTGAAAATGATAATCTTCTTTTTTATATTTATGTTATATTAAGTTTTACATCATTTTCCTTTTCGTTCGTGCCGGAAGTATGATCACGAGCTTATCCATTTCTGCTTTTGCAATAGGAAATATCAAGGAAGAATCTGTGCTTACTTTAACTTTTTATAAACTTTCTAAATGTTCCATAAATTTTTTGGATTCATATGAAAACAGAGGTACTAGAAGTACTAATTACATCTCTTATATGCGTTAAAATATATTATATATCTTTATTATTAAAAAAGCGTGCAAAAAATGGATTTACGAAAAATAAGAAACTGAATAAGATCGAGAGGCTCACTGTTTCATACGTCGCGCGAGAAGTCTCTCTAGTATTTTAAATACTTCTTTAAGAGTAAACAAAAAGTAAACAGAATATAAAGAGAATAAATTTAGATTATTATCAAACATATTTGTAACTTTATTAAAGAAGGATCGAAGCGATCGAGACAAATAAACCCGACGAAAGAACTGAGACAAAGATGTATAGCCTCTCACCGGTACAATTTAATATTTACCTCGAAGGAATATTCTGCCCTCCTTGGTTAAAATGTCCTATTTACAAAATTCTCATTTTTCATCTTTTTGTTTATATTTGTACTTTAACATGTTTTATACCTTTAATCCTCATTTTTCTTGAAAAATTAAAAATGTTAGTTAGGACATCTCAATTAAGGAGGGCAGTATTGAGTGAGCAGAGAAGAGTCGAGAAATTGGAATACCGGTTGGAAATGATAAGCTGTTCACTTTGAGTTTCGCGGATGATCAGATAATTTTTACGTAGAATGCCTTTGACATAGAGTTTATAATCCGAAGATTATATTAGCACTACGAAAAATGGGGTCTCAAGATTAATATAAAGAAGATTTGGTGGTAAATTCAGTGACGAACTTCATCATTCACATCACGCACTCGCAGACGATTGAACAGACTTTTTCAAATATCTTGGCATAGTGGTGACAAGGGATAAAGGAATTGGCAAGACAAATATTAAACACAGGATAGAACAGAATAGGAGAATAATCAGATGCTTAAACTTGGTGTAGTGAAGTAAGAATATTCAAGAACATTAAGAAATACATCGGCAAGACTATGGTAGAATCTGTCTTATGTTACGGAAGTGAGGTGTGGACTCTTAACGCAGAGCTGAAGCGAAGAATTACATCGATGGAAATGGATTACTTGAGAAAAAATGAAAGTATAACAAGGAGATACCTAATGAGATACCTAATGAGGAAATAAGAACGAGAATGGGGACAGATGATACAGTGCTAGATAGGATTGAGAGAAAAGAGCTTAAATGATTTGGGCATCTCTTACGAATGGAGGAAGATAGATGGCCTCAGAAGATATTCAGGTACTCTCCGGAAGGGAGAAGAAAGTGAGGATGTTTACGAAGATCATGGAATGAAAGAATGAGACAAGCAATGATAATCCGAGGAATGGAGGAGGACGATGCTTTCGATCGAAATGCATAGCGATTAGAAATCGGGGAAACGGAGCTCTGTCATATAAAGAATATATGACAGAGCCATATAAAGAATATGACTCGAAAATAATAAATTATTTGCAGCTTTATTTTTTTACATTATTAAGCAGAAACTAGCTACATTTATTTTTTGAAATTAATAATAACTTAATAATTCAAAAATTAGTTTTACATCAAAAATGAAACATTGGTAAAAACTACGAGCTTTGTCATTTTTCTCAAATGAGAATCGACTTCGAATTTATTCAATTTATTCACGTTAAAGATTGATCCAAAAATGGGTCGATGTTATATATGTATAATGTATTGCGATAGATGAGTGATTTTTTCATTTGTTATTTTCTACCGCATACTTCTATAACGATGACTATGCATTTCGCTTTTACTAATTTTTTGTAATATAGCTTTATTGTAGCACAGAGTAGGCTTTTTTGTCGTGACTCATCGTGACTCGGGGTACTTGACCGGTATATTTCTGAATTTCCCGGTTTCTCGGCTACCCATCGAGACTCTCAAGGGGGATATCCACATCGTTAAACACTTTGTTTTTTTTTATTGAAGCTAACATGCTCGCGAGTCTAAAACGATGGGCAACCCCGAAAAATGTACTGGCATGTTTTCAATTCTTAGGACTGCTATATATCACTGATTTTTTAATTTTTAGATAACAGAACTATATCGCAGAAAACATAAAGAAACGAAACAAAAAAGAGAAACACGATAAAGAAACGTGATTCGATAATTTTTCGAACGTGCGCTTGCGTAATTGAAAGATACGCGCGTCATTGAATGAATACACTAATAACTCTTTAGCTCCGCTTTAATGATAGCCGCAATAATATTCAAGTTACACGTAGAACTGCCCGTGACTCATAGGACGTACGTCTGCGAATTCCCCAGTCTTCCTCTTCGCGCCGCGATATCATCCAGCAGAAGAGACTCCAAGCATACTTATTTGTTATTTTCCTTGTTGCGTCCGTCGGCTCAAGATGCTCGTGTCGCAAATAAACTGAATGGCACGACACGATTCACAGCCGCTACGGCAAGATACCCCACTACCGCACCATCAGAACATGTCTTCGGCACAGAAACTGTAAATGTATTGAGATGTCTCGATGGAGAACTGGTCAGTTGGTGTCTTGGTGAAGGTTCGGTCAGGCCGTCGGATCGAAGTTTCGATAATTAACATAGCGGGATTGATCGTCGTAGTGTTAAGACTCACTGAACAAAACGCATTGTCGAAAATGCCTCAAAAGTGTACAATGTACACTTAAAGAGTATAAGGATACGGTCAACGAGCTAGAGGAAAATATAAATAAAAAACATAAAGAAAATACTGAAAAAGATAACAGTGCAAAGCTTATAATTTAATTAACGCGTTTGTATACTTACTGTATACTTACGATAAATAAATAGAAGACAGAGAGAAAGTGATGCAGTATATGTTTCAATAACAAAAACAAAGTAATACAATAAAAAAATAAAGTTGGATAGATAAACGTATTCATGTTCATCTGAATTTAAAATTTGAAAAGTTTAATAAAGCGGTGCGAAATCTACTATCTACTATCACCGGTTCGACGACTACTAAATGACTAAAGGGCAAAGTTAAATATGCGCTTCCGGAATATGCAACAAAAAGACACTTTAATTTGCACATAGTTGTCAATTCACCGAAAGTGTTTTTCTTTTAAGCGTTGACTGAAGTGCTACAGTGATTACGGAACATATTGTGCGAGAATCCGGCACAGAGAATTCATATATATTTACGATTCACAATATTTGCATATATATTTGCACAAATTCCGCATCTTATTTCGTAGTTTACTTGAGTAGTTCACATTTTCTAGAGGTTTTAGTGTACTCTTCAACAGAAACACCATCAAATCTGTGAGGAAGTAAGTTATGGTTAAAATGTTTTTATCTATTGACTGGATATCGTATATTAAATATCATCGAGAGATTTTATATGGCATTATACTTGTCACATAACATTCTAAGCTCTCATTAATCTATTAATATGAACAGTGATTTAATTATCCGTTCTATTCGAACCTTCAGTCTCCGCGAATTCTCCTTTTTTGAATAGTTTTTAATTGATTATTTATTAAAGTGTGTTTATTTAGAGAGATTATTAAATGTTAATGTGATTAAATTTCTATAAAAAATATTCTCATCACACATTTCACAGTAAATTATCAAAATTGCTTTGCGTACTACATAGTTATGTTATTAAATATTTTTTGTCATATCTTGGCAATATTAGCAATATTAAATAATAATAGTCTATTGTTAAGAATGTAATTGAATTGATTTTCAAACACAGATTGATTTGAAATTGAAGTTGAAATAAAGATACTAATAATAAAACAAAACATGAATAAAGTGCGATAACAACAAAATTATTATCTTTGCTGACTTTCTTATGCTTGTATTCGATAGGCATATTAATGTGTGTAAAATACTTATTTTTTAACAATTATCACACAAAAGATACAGGATGTTCAATAATAAGCGCATTTGACAATAATATTAAATTTATTTTGTTTAAAATTAAAAATAATTGATTACTGACAAAATGTTGTGATGCAAATAGCTTTTGAACTGTAATTAATCTAGAAAGAAATAATCTTATGCGTATGAGTTGTAGGATTAGAAGAATATTATTAATATTTATCGGATTAGTTAAAGGTAAAACTTCAAAAATTTTAATATTATGTTGAATAAAATTTCGATAAGCGGAAGGAACAATGTTTTCATTTTCAACAAATATCGGAGATTTACCTTGTTCACCGAATACATCTATTAATGGACACCTTGTATTGTATCATGTCAGCATGCTGAGTTTGTTGTTTCCATTTATTCTACAGAGTTGTAAAAAAAGCATGTATGTTCAACGATTCGAGCTTATCTATACAATGTTTTATTACTTTTCCTGGTTCACTTACGAAGAGTGAACGCCTTCGTACTACATATTGAGATCGTGAGATTTTTAATGTATCCGATTAACATATCAACATTTAGCAAATAGATATATGATTATTTATTATATAAAATTATTAAATATTAGGGATTAGTATGGTATGAGTATTTTAAAAAATGATTTAAAAACTTTCTTCTAAATGGAAGAAGTATATTCAAACCGAGAATCTGTTATTAATAAAAAATACATTAAAAATAAATTCCAAATGTGAAACAGAGAATCGAGAACCAAAACAAGATGTTAGTTGTTTGCTAAAATCTTTATTTAAGTAAGGTAAACGTTTCGGTCAATATTTGATACAATCTTCAGTACAATTTTTCTTTCGCAGTCTGAATTATTACATTAATTGAGGTCAGTACTAAAATCTGATATAATACGGAAAATTTTTAAATCGAATAACAGTAATCGAAAAATAAACAATTAATCTAATCTACATGCGTACCTGTGAGACTGCTCGTATCACCTCTATTATTTTTTCAATTTAACATGTTAGTCGTTAGGTTTGTAAAGAACAACTATGAGGCCTATTGGGTTGAAGTGGTAGGAGATGTGAGATGGGGAAACATAAGGGGGGAGAGGGAAACTAGTGTATTAGTCAAGATTATGTTATATGGATGGTAATAAATTAATTAACGGAGAATATGACTCGGATAGGAGGTCTATGTCACTTTGTTTGTTGGGCCCAATTGTTGGTTTTGTCTTTTAATATATAACATTTCTGATGTTAATCTTTTGTAGTAAGATCGTTCCCCGTCAAGTATCTTTATGCCATCCCAATCAAATTCATGGTTAGATTGTAAACGGTGACTTGAAATTACAGATATAGAGGAGCATTTTTTAATGTCATTTTTATGTTCTTGTACTCTAGTTTTAAACTGCCTCTTCGTCTGGCCTTAATACGACGCATCACAGTCACTGCATGAGATTTTATAAATCATATTGCAGTGAAATGATTTGTCTAATGTGTTGTACATCTTTCTGTGTTTCAATGAGTGGTTTTAAATCATTAAAACGGTAAAAAGACAGTTCAAAATCATGTCTCTTAGTTATGTGAGTGAACTTTTTGGAAACAGATCTTACGTACGGTACCGTAAAATATTTTTTTCTTTCAAATTCCTTGCCTTGATTATTATTACTATTATCATTGTTATTTCTATTGTAAGATTGATATTTTATTTTTTCGCGTATGTTGTTGAAAATGAGTCTTAGAGAGTATCCATTCTTTAATAAAATCTCTATTATTTTTATTAAGTTTTTTTTATGGAATCCAGGGTGTGAAAGGAATAGAGAGCTCTATCTACTAAGCCCATAATTACATCTTTTTTGTGAGCAATAGGAGTTGAATGTTGAGAGTAATAATTAAGGTATCTACCCGAAAATGATGGTTTTTGGTATCAGTTAAAAATAATGTTCCTTTACAATCATTCTGACGTCCAGAAAGTTAAGTTCACCCTTCAATCCCACCTCAATTGTAAACTTAATCCTATGGTGGAAGGCATTGAAAGTTTCTAATAATTGATTCAAGGATTCCCTAGGGACTGATAAAATGATGTCATCTACATATCTGAAGAATGGTGGTTCAAAGAGCAAACTATTTATTACTCTGTTTTCGATGTCCTGAAGAGTGACATCTGCGATAATAGGCGAAAGTGGAGAGCCCATAAGTTTGTTTATATATGGTGTCGTTGAATTGGACATATTCCAGGGAGAAATACAGGTCGAAGAAATGTCTATTAGACGTTTATATACGTCTATTAGATGTCTATGAGACGTTTCTTCGACCTGTATTTCTCCCTGGGATGTGGAACTTAAAATAAATCTGACGGCACAAATAAATATTAAAAATACGTGAAAATTATGTAAAAAAATTAAGAACTGTTTATTTATATATAAAAGAAAAGATAAAGATAAACTACATACTTAAATCCTGAATTTTGTTTGTAACAGAGCTTTATAATGGCCAAGGTTCCCATTTTGATCACTTTATTGCCGCAGCTATTTTGTATGTTACTAGAGGTATTCGGACAATCACCATGTCCTCAATATTTCATGTACATAAACGATCCTATAACGGATGAAGTGATGGGACAGGTCCAAATTCCATCTCCGCCAAAAAATGTTGAACTTCATTTGAGAGTGGCCTTAAGTATCGCCGTTGAATTGCCTTCGGTAAACATCTTAAATTTTTTCCTTTCAGAAAAGTTTACACAGTATAGCATTAATATATTTATATTAATATATTTGCACGTTTGTTATATTTTATTAATATATTTTTATTGATTTTACTATCTTTTAATACTTTTGAAATGCTTTCTTACTCCTAATCATCTAGTTGTCTTTAATAGTTTCTAATGTATAAAACTTGGTTATAACTTCAGAAATTCTTTAAAACATCTCTAAAATATCTCTAAAACAAAGTTCGATTATAATCGGATTTGCATTTTATTTGTAAAGTATCTTAGAAGATAAAATTTTTTTCCATTTATCACTTAATTAAATCATTCGAATATTTTAATCACCGCTGCATTTTAGGCATATGTCGGTCGACTGGAACTGGCGCAATCAAAAGAAGAATCCGTTCGAGTGGTTCAACAGGGCAAGCCTCTGTTATACCATATTCACTTCCCTGTGTCTCAACCGTTTCCGTTACTGACTGGATTAATATTTAACGGTCAAGTATATTGTTCAGGTCTTCGTGGTGAGTACAAATTATATAGATAGATTTATTTATTTCGTGTCTTTCAGCATTGAAAGGAATTACAAATTCAACATACGAGAAAATATAGCATAAAAACAAATTTAACCTAATAAAATATAACCTTACTGCTTTAATTATTGTTCTTATACATTAACTATTCTTCCAAACACTATCTGAGTTGCTATTAGGTCTATAACTTGAAACCCGCTCTCTAGCGATAAATAGCTGTAACTTTGACAATCGTCAACTGTAATGGCTGAACAAGGCATTATTTATAGTTTTGACATCTGTCAATAATATTCAGTATATAAAAGTTTGTGTTTGTGACAACATAGTTTTTTACTGCAAAGAAAACGTCTAAATTTCAACCAAATAAGCATCATTTGCGCGAAGCTTTGCTTTTCTGTTTCAATTTGAAGAAAACTACTGCTGAATCTCATCGAATGCTTGTTGAAGCTTATAGGGAACTTGTTCTATCGAAAACAACTTGCAATGAATGGTTTTGACGATTCAAACTTGGTGATTTTGACACGAATGATAAAGAACGCCCAGGCCAGCAAAAAAAATTCGAAGATACAGAAGCATTAGTGGATAAAGATCCCTGTCAAACACAAAATCAACTTGCAGAAACGTTGGATGTTACTCAAGCAGCCATTTTCAAGCGTTTAAAAGCCATGGGAAAGGTATACAAGGAAGGAAGATGAGTGCCATATGAACTGAAAGAAAGCGACATCGAAAGGCGAAAAATCATCTCCGAAATGCTACTTGCCAGACAAAAAAAAAGGGGGTTTTTGCATCGAATTGTGACTAGCGATGAAAAGTAGATCTATTTCGATAACCCCAAACGCCGAAAAACCATTTGCGACCCAGGCCAACCATCGACATCGACGCCAAAACGCAATATTCGTAACCCAGTCAGCAAAGTCTGTTTGAACAGATATTGCCAAACGTCTGCTACAAATTTTTGTCAGCAGAAAGACTGCAGATTGTATACAAAACCTGTTACATCAAATAATGATAGCAGAATTTCAGCAGAAATGTTACAAAACCTGCTGACATAATTTGACAGCAGATCAGTAACAGAAACCAAGTAGGATTTGCTCGGAATTATTACAGCAGATTGACGACAGAAACCGAGCAGGACCTGCGCAACGCAGTTTGATATCAGATTGACGGCAGAAATCGAGCAGGATCTGTATAATGCAGTTTGATGTCAGATTGGCGGCAGAAATCGAGCAAAATCTGCGCAGTGCAATTTGATGTTGTTTGCCGCTATGCGG